TTTTTTTTTTTTTGGTGGGTATTGTAAACGGTATTGATTTCCTTATTTCTTTTTCAGCAGTCTCTTTGCTGGCGTAGAGGAATCCAAGTGATTTTTGGATGTTGATCTTCTGTCCTGCCACAATGCTAAATCTCTCAATTAGTTCCAGTTGATTTTTGACTGAGTCTCTTGGGTTTTCTAGCTATAGGATCATATCATCAGCAAATAGGGATAGTTTGACTTCTTCCTTACCAATTCGGATGCCTTTGATTTCCCTTTCTTGCCTTATGGCTCTGGCTAGGACTTCCAGTACAATGTTGAATAGAAGTGGTGATAACAGGCATCCTTGTCTGGTTCCTGTTCTCAAGAGGAATGGTTTCACTCTCTCTCCATTGAGAGTACTGTTGGCTGTTGGTTTTGAATAGATGCCCTTTATTATGTTGAGGAATGTCCCTTCTATTCCTATTTTGCTGAGAGTTTTGATCAGGAATGGTGTTGGATTTTATCAAATTGAGTTTTCTGCATCAATTGATATGATCATGTGGTTCTTCTTTTATTTATGTGGTGGATGACGTTGATAGTTTTTCTAAGTTGAACCATCCCTGCATACCTGATATGAACCCCACTTGGTCATAATAAATGATTTCTTGATGTGTTGTTGGAGTCTATTGGCTAGGATTTTATTGAAGATTTTTGCATCTATATTCATGAGGGATATTGGTCTGTCATTTTCCTTTTCAGTGATGTCTTTGCCTAGTTTTGGTATCAAGGTTATGCTTGCTTCATAAAATGAGTTAGGAAGGATTCCATCCTTTTCTCTGTTTTGGAATAGTTTGAGTAGGATTAGTATCAGTTCTTCTCTGAATGTTTGGTAGAATTCTCCAGTGAAACCATCTGGGCCGGGACTTGAGTTGGTAATTTTTTGGTGACCTGTTCAATCTGCTTCTTTTGTGATGGACCTGTTCAACTTTTCCACATCAGTCTGTGTTAGCTTAGGTAAATGATGTGTTTCTCAAAATCTGTCCATTTCTTCCAGATTTTCAAATTTGTTGGAGTGCAGTTCTTCATAGTATCCTGATATTACTGTGTTTCATTTCTGTGCAGAGGTTTCATTTTTAAAAATTTTATACTCACAGCAACCCTTGAATCATCCTAAAATTTTCTGCTTTTCAAAGTGCAATATGTAACTTTCCCTCTTCTCCTTTGTCCTTTCTTTTGTTGGGCTCTTCTTTCCACTACTAAGACAAGTTTTTCTTCTCTAAGTTTCTGTTTTCCAAACTGCAAAATGGATATAATACGGGAGTTAAAGGATTATTATTGAGGACTACAAACAGAAACATGGAAAAGATCTATTATATAGTGCTTGCCATGTACTAGTGGTTAAACAGTTGCATTTCTCTTTCTTCTGTTCTTTGCTTCCTTTTTTATCCTGCTTGTCCATGGATTCACAGTGTAAAAGAATAGGAACCTTTAATTCAATAACAATAATAGCAAATGCGGCCTATTTGATTAAAGAAGAACTCGTAGTCTTCATTCATTTAACAAACTTTTATTATTTACTGCTAGGCGCTATGGTAACAGCCACAGATAAGGAGAATTACTTTGTGTGTAAATATTAAAAACCTAAATAAGTTATCTTAATAAGAGCTATGACTGACGGGGAGGTATCTTAGTTATCTAATACTGCTATAATAGAAATATCCTAAGTGGATGGCTTAACAAGTAGTAACACATTCTCTCACAGTTTAAGAGGCTAAAAGTCCAAATTCAGGGCACCAGCTATAGAAGACTTTCTCTCTATATCTGCTCTGGGGGATAGTCCTTGTCTCCTTTCAACATTTGTAAGCCCATTGTCCCTTGGAGATCTCCATTTTTCTTGGCATCAGTCTTCCCCTGGGTCTAGGAGGCTCTGGGCACAGGGACCCTGGCTCTAAAGGATACACTCTGCTCCCAGTTCTTTTTTCTAGGTAGTACTGAGGTATCCTGTTCTCTGCTCTGTTCTTTTTCCTTCTGTCTCTTATAAAAGATAATGCAGGCCACACCCCAGGGAAATTTCCTTTGCCTCAGGGAAACTTCCCTTACATCAAGGCTGTTGCATCCCACTTTAATCCTCTTATGACTGATTGGATGACCACTTCAGATTACATCATGGTGGGTGATTACATCATTACATAACTGCAAAACCACTGAGAATCATGGCCTAGCCAAGTTGTCACATATTTTGGGGAGGATACAATTTGATCTTTGACCAGAAGGAAATTTATGGGAAAGATACTTAAAACAGTTTGGGAAATCCAAGGGAAAACTGAAAATGTGTTTCAAGATGGGTAGTATGAGATCCTGGAAACCTCCAGAAACCTAGGCAGCCACTCTTATCTCCACTGGAAGTAATTAGGCTCTGCTCTGTACTCATCTATGCACATGATTACCCTTCATCTAAATATATATTTCTACTTTCACACTACCAGCCCACACTGCCTAGAGCTTCTAGTTCTTTATTCCAAATTCTTGGAAGAAAGGATCTGATTGACAAAGTTTTGGTAAAATATTTATCCCTGGACCCATTAGCCATGGCAAGATTAGGACAAAAGAAGGGAAGAGAAGTTAGTGTCCCGTTGAGGAGATGCTTCACAGAGAGGGTAACATTTAAACCACTAACAGTCAAACAGTGCCCAACTATATCACCTCTTAAGTTTATATTCGTGGACAAGTAATTTAATGTTTCATTGTCAGCTTCCTTTATCTGTAAAATGAGGAGAAAAACCAAAACCAAACTCAGTGCCATCAAGTTGATTCTGACTCAGTCACCCCCATCGGACCTCCCTGTTATGGATTGAATTGTGCCACCAGAAAACATGTTGTAAATCCTAACCCCTATACCTGTAGTTATAATCTCATTTGGGAACAGGGTTTTCTTTGTTATGTTAATAAGACAGGATTAGTGTATCTTGAGCCACTCTCTTTTGAGATATAAAAGAGATCAAGCAAATGAACAAGAAGTATAAACTGGGAAAGAGGGATGCCAAGCCAAATGAAGACTGCCCAAGAGCAGCAGCTAAAAGAGATGAGGACCTTCTTCCAGAGCCAACAGAGACAGACAGCCTTCCCCTAGAGCCAGCACCCTGAATTCAGAAAGTTTCCATTTGTTAGAGCTATCTACTTGTGGTATTTCTGTTGTAGTAGCACTAGAGAATTAAGACACTCCCTCACAGGGTTGTTATGAGGATTAAATGAGATATTGCATGTAAAGAATTTATAAATCTATGCCTGGCGAATTCTAAAAGCTCAAAGTATAGCAATTAACTTTCATATCAAGGTTTTTATCTTTAAAATTCATCAGGAGTACTGAATGTCTTAATTGCCAGTAAGTGTATGTTGATATAGCGTCAACATGAAATTAAAAACTGATTTTCAAAATAAGTATCTTGTTAGCATGACAGGTTCTTGCTCTTACAGTTTTAGGAATAGCGATTGTGTAAGCCTTGGCTTTTTGTTAAGTCTCTTCACATAGGCTGTTCTCTTCTCTTCTCTAGGCTCTGTGCTCCTCTACCTTCTGATATAATAGTTGATCCAATGTGTGGAACAGGGGCAATACCAATAGAGGTAATTAATAACTGTTCTTTAACTTTTAGGTAAGCACATGATACATTGAGAATGTTCTAGACCTTATGTGCAAATTAGACACTGAAATTACAAAGGTTGACTCAATGGATCCAAGAGTTTTCAAAGAATTATTACAGTGTAACCACTTATAACAAATAGCCAAGTGCCAAAGGACTATGTAGTTTATTAGTAATATCCACTGAATAACAGAGAAGATTGAGAATTATAAACTGGTAAGTCATTTTTCTGTGACAAACAAGATGATAGTTTTGAAAGGGAAAGGATTATTGAAGACCAAATCCTAAAGTGGAAGAAAGCCAGTTAAGGTGACATCATGCTTCTTAATCTACTTAGAGTCTTGGAGGGGATAAGTATAATTATAAAGAAGAGAAATCTATAAACATTATTTACATTTTTGGGGAATTCTGACAAAGTTATATACCTAATGTTCTTAAATACTTTTAACAATTACTGTGAGATTGAGGTAACTCATAAAAACTGCTTAAAAGTAAAGCAACAAGTAGAAAGCCATTTTCTAAGCAGAGAACATAGTAGAATCTCCCTGGTAACAATCTCTACTTTTATAAACAATTTGGAAGAGGGAATTTCCAGTAAAAACCACCTAAGTTTGTAAAACATTTTAAGTTCTTCCATATAGTAAACCTAAAGGCAATGGGAATAAACTGCAGAGAGATACCACAAGATTCTGTGAGAGGATAGGACCTGGGCAGGTGAGCAATTCCAGAGCAACCCATAAAGCAGAAAATAATCCAAACTGTAATTAAAAAAAGACATCTGTGATCTCTGGGAGTTAAAATCCAAGAAGGAATCATAGCAGTCTACATGACCTCTATTTCCTGCTAATGTCAGGTAGATAAATTACTCTGACTAAAAAGACCCACACAGAGAAATCCCAGTTGTGATCAGAAACAATTTTGGAAACAAAGCAGATTGTTCTTCTTCCCTAACTTTAAACCATGATGTGTCTGTGTCTGAAATAGCAAATAAGGTCACTACATGTCAAGAAAGATACAACAAAGCTAGAAAGAAAGAGGCCAGAAGAGGCCCCAAAGTAATTAAAAGTTTGAGCCACTCGCATATAAGGATGGACATGACAATGCCAATGTAGAAGAACCTAAGTAATTTTTGACCAAAATGAATCAAATTATGAAAGGTATTAGTGGTGCATATATACAGATTTGTTAGAGCTATCTCTGTGTAGTATTATATAAATACTTGATCTGGAATCCTCTTTTTAAAATTGAAAGTACTGTAAAACCCATTTCTTTCCAGGTTGAAATCTAAAACAGGTGTTTTAAAAAAAAAAAAGATTCAGAATCTTGAGAGGCTTTCATACAACTCCCTCTCCTTTTCCCTCCCCCCTCCCCCCAAAAATGCTGCACATTTCAACTTCCCTTCTTTATGAAAGTTACTTCTAGAGGATTATAAATAGGAATATGTCATCACCCTCAAGTGTCTGGACAAGAGAAAAAGTTAGGAAGTGGTATATTAATGGATGAGAGGTTTGTTACTATTTACAGAAGTGTTTGCTACTCATTCCTAAACAGAGGGTAGAATCTTTCTCTGCTTTTACGTAAGAAACCTGTTGATCTGCTTAGAAAATTGCTCTGGCCTAGGAAAGTATATCACCTCATTTCATAACTTTTGACATACTTTTAACTTAAAATTAAAAAATCCTTCCAGAGACATTGTAGTTATCATTCAAAAACCTAGCTATCCAAAGGAAATGGTATTTTACTTTGAAATTCTCAAGTATTCCATATATCAGCATAAATACATTTGCCCATAAACACAAGAGTATAGGTTTGACTGATTTGAGTTGCTTAATTTTTTTCAAACTGTTTATTTAGGGTCTGCTGCTAAATAAATGAGCCAAAAACTGCTGGATGAGGCATTGAATTAAAAAACAGAGTTGTCCTCAAGGAGTTCCCAAATTAGTTAGGAGGCAGGCAAGTACAGAAATAATTTAAAATAGAACAAGTGCAGTTTCAGAGGTGATGTACAGAGTACTTTTGAAGGGGGTAGATGAAACAGCATGGAGTTATGGGATTGATGTCACACAGGGCATGACACTTGAGCTGGGCCTTGAAAGATGAGTAGGAGTTCATTAGCAAGCACAAAACATGCAAGCAGTGTTTTGCCACTTTAGAAAAGCATTGGATTGGATTGTCTTTTTAATTGACAGTTGGCTGAAATAGTTTTTCCCTTTAATCATTTTTTGCAGTTTCTTACTTCTGTTTAATTCTTTTGTCTTTTAGGGGGCTACTGAGTGGGCTAACTGTTACCATATCGCTGGTGACAACAATCCATTGGCTGTGAATAGAGCAGCAAATAACATCTCGTCTTTACTGACCAAGAACCAAATTCAAGAAAGGTAAAAATCTAAAAAGACAGAAGCATCTTAATCATGTTTCATGTTGACTGTGAACAGCCTGAAAAGTACTGTGACATCATTTTAACCTAAATGAAAATATTATGACCATTTTGAAAGGTGGTATCAAAAGCCTTAAAATAAATAAAAAGTTTATAACTTGGACCCAGAAATGCTCTTCTAGAAAATTATTCAAGTATCATGAGACTCCATTTAAATTTTAAAGTTTGTTGAGAATAATTATAAAAAACCATTTTTTCTTTTTAAAGTTTACAGAGTACATTGGTTTTCCATGCAGCAATCCATATACATTGTTTTGTGATATTTTCTGTAATTCCCACACTGTAACAGCATTCTTCCCACTTCCTACCTGCACTCACCCCATCTTTCCCATCCCTTCCACCCTTCCTAACTCTATCATGGGCAAATGCTGTCCTCTTGATTTCATAAAAACATTTGTGCCTATTCAACTGTAATACCCCATCATAATGCAACTTTTTAGTTTTTCCTTTTTCTGTTTCTTATTCATACTCACACACACACACACACACACATACATACTGGAAGAATATTTTATAGATTCTTTTCAATTTCTCAAATTTTTAAGTACTTTTTATATAATCTCTTTAATGACTGCATAATATCCCATTGTACAGAAATACTGATGTTTAATTTTCTCCCTTGAGTCCATAAAGAAAAACATCTTGTCCCTATGTCACACAATGATTTGACGAAAGCATTTGCCACATGATTACATCAGATATTTGAACAGCTACAGAGCCTCCCTCTCCCTCCCCCTTCATCCCTTCATTCCATATCCTCTTTTCTAAGCAGAATATTCCAAGGTTCTTCAGCCATGCTTCTTCAATATTCATGGATTAGAAGTCTGTTAGCCTCTGGGAAGATGTGTCATTTCCATTCTTTTGAGATGTTGAAGTTGTTAAAGTATCTTAGCCACCACTCCAAATTTAAGGACACCCATCTATGTCAGCCTTGTACCCAGTCCTTTGGGAAGAACTGACTGAAATACCACTTGGGTCTACAATTTTCATAAAATTGCTTTTCTGGTCCTGCTCTGCTGGTGTCATTCATTTATTTACCTGTAAAGCACCAGGAATAGGTAATGGTCAGCAGATTTGTTAGGTCTTATATAGGAGCTCTGGTGGCATAGTGCCTAAGGCATTAGACTGCTAACCAGAAGACTGGTGGTTCAAACCCACCAGCTACTCCTCAGAAGGAAGGTTTGGCAATCTATTTCCATGGTGATACTGCCTCGGAAACCCAAGGAGGGGTTGCTATGAGTCAGAGCCATAGGTGCTTCAGGAGGTCTGGTGGGGCAGTGGTTAAAGCACTTGGCTGCTAACCAAGAAGATTGGCAGTTTGAACCCACCAGCCAGAGGCAGTCTGCTTCTGTAAAGATTTACACCCTTGGAAATTCTATATAGGATAGTTCTGCTCTGTTCTGTGGGAGCTCTGGTAGCATAGTACCTAAGGCCCTTGACTGCTAACCAGAAGGCTAGCGATTCAAACCCACCAGCCACTCCTCAGAAGGAAGGTTGGGCAATCTACTTCCATAGTGATACTGCCTTGGAAACCCAAGGAGGGTCCGACTGTGAGTCAGGTCCAACTCGACGGCACGTTATCAACTCTGTTCTCTAGAAAGATTGGGCAATCTATTTCCGTAGTGATAATGCCTCAGAAAACCCAAGGAGAGGTTGCTATGAGTTGGGTCTGACCCGCCGGCATATAACAACAACTCTATTCTGTAGGGTCACTATGAGTCATAATCAACTTGATGGCAGTGAGTGTGATTTTGGGTTCAAGTGCTCTGAAGTCCAAATATATAGCCTAGGATTTCACTTGTGTTCTGACTGGCCTCATGAGATCTAGAAACAGGTACTTTCATAACCCTCAGTGAGGTTTATTTATAGATAGAAATCAGTGTGTTTGAAAGAAAATATTAATTTTATTCATATAATTAAATTTATTGCTTATATATGCTATGTCTGATAGTACTTTATGACTTTAATGATTAGAACCTTTTCTTTGCTAATTTTGTCTTTTAGTTATTATGGATTACTAATGTTTATTTTCATATATTAATATTGTATGTTCTATGGTTTATCATGCTCAGTGCTTTATTTCTATTTTCTATTGAAATAATTTTGTTTTCCAAATTTTAACTTATATGCTGTTTTCTTTTTAATGATTAAAAAAAAGCTTTATTATAGCTGAGTTGTAAGCACTTTTGTTGATTATATCCTATTGATTTTGATAATGCTCTCATTTTTGTTTTCTAAATCATTGGTTGTGTATGTGTCCCTCCATGCTAGTTGTTTAAGACAGTGCATTTCAGATGTCCTTATGAGTCACCTGGAAATTGTGCTAACACGACAAAGATTCTAATTCTGTAGGTTGAAGGTCTGCACTTCCAGCAAGCGCCTAGATGCTGCTGATACTGTTGAACTGTGGACTACACTGAATGGCAAGGGTTTAGGAGACCATTTTTTATACAAACATGGTTGGAAGGTTTTGGTTTATATTTTACTGTGATGAATGAGTTTTTGTATTTTAATATTTATTGAGGTGTTGAGGCTTAGTATGACTTGATTTTGAAGCTGGATAAAACATTTTTAAACAAAGTATCTCTTTTCCAGCTTATTAGTATTTTAATCTTAGTTGTTTAGACCCTCAGCATCTTCATTTTTTGTTTAACCTGTACTCTTATCAATTTTACCTTGATTTTTAGTGTGTTATGGCTTAGGTCTTTTGTTGTGCTGCAGTTATTGGTACTTGTGGTTCTAATACTATTTTTAATGTGTTTTAAAAATCATTATGTAGTGTCACTCTGGTGTCACAGTGGTTAAAGCATTGGGCTGTTAACAGGTCAGTGATTTGAACCACTAGCCGCTCCATGGGGAGAAAAATGAGGCAGCCTGCTTCTCTGAAGATTTACAGCCTTGGAAACCTATGAAGTAGTTCTGCTCTGCCCCATAGGGTCGCTGAGTCAGATCAATTAGGTAGCAGTGGGTTTATCTAGTGATTGCCTTTTAAAAAATTCTTTATTAAATATCGTAATACTTGATTTCTGCTTCTATATTGTTTCATGTTCTAACATAAAAACAAGTACTTGTATATATTTTAGTTCTTGTTACTACTTTGTAGATTTGCCAAACTGTCCTTCAGATGTGTCATCTTGCAGTGTTTTTCTCTTTAGTGTTCTGGTTCTGATTCTTCCCAGTGAATGTCTCGTCTCATTGGAAATTTTTTACATCATCAGTTATGTAATTTATTGTTTCCTTTTGTGCTACAATCTTTGTTTTACCCTTCTATGTGCATTTTAAATTATAAGTGAAACTTGTCATTTATGAAAACCAATCTTAACTGTTTAAATTTGTCATTCTTTTAAATTTTCCATTTCAGCCATAATAGTTTTCTTTTAGGATACTCCCTGTTCATCTGAGTTGTTGATGTTATCACTGGTTTTCTTAGTATTTTGTACTTTACTGTGTAGCAGTCTCTTTTCAGTTTTTTTCCCCCAATTCATTTCATACTTCTGAATGTATTGAAGCACTTTGCTTTGTCCCACAGCAAACCATCCTGGGGCCTACCGATAGATACTGTTCAGTGGGATATCTGCAATTTGCCATTAAGAACAGGCTCTGTGGATATTATTGTAACAGATATGCCATTTGGAAAAAGGTAGGGATTTGTTTTTTTAAAAAAGCTTTACCTTTAAGTATTATACCCACTTGTCTTCTGAATCTGTCAGTGTTTTCTTTGAGCTTATTCTACGTCAGAAAAAAGAAACATTCATTTCCTATTAGCAGACTTTCTTCAGCAGAGCTATTTTTCACTTCAAAATTAAGAGTATGATGGATTCATCCATTTTGTTTTTTCTTTTGGTAATTCATTAATGTTATTAACTACATGTTCATCCCCACCATAATAGGCTCATTATAAAATTATGTATCTATAATTTACTTTCTAGCCCATTGCTGAGAAAAATTGGTTTCTCGAGATAAATGATTTCTGAGAACGTTTCTATAATTTGCTCATGTTCCACTAAATTATAAAATTTTTACAGTTGTCATTTTTTTTTTATCTGTAACTGAAAAATTCCAAGCTGTTTACTGATAACTCATGTCACTGACATATAATAGTCAAAACTTTGGTGTCTATAATGCAGCTATTTTTCACGTCTTAGGATACATCAGATACTTTGATAATAATGATAACTTAAATTTTTAATGACTTCAAATTTTGTATTTATCTTCAACAAATGCTTGACTCATCACTCTTTTTTTATAGGATGGGCTCCAAGAAGAGAAACTGGAACCTTTACCCAGCTTGCCTACGGGAGATGAGCCGCATCTGTAGACCCGGAACAGGCCGAGCTGTACTACTCACTCAGGACAAGAAATGCTTTGCCAAGGTGCTCAAAAACTCAGCCAATGGCAACTTAAACATATTTTTAAGTACAACTTAAATTGTTAGTTTAGATAGATTTTCTTCTCCTCTAATGTTTCTTAACTGCCAACCAAGACCCATAGTGGATTTAGAAATAGCTTGTTAGCGTAATTCTTTTATGCTTTTCATGTGCACACAGGCATTATCCGGAATGGGACATGTGTGGCGGAAGGTGCATACTGTCTGGGTGAACATAGGGGGTCTTCATGCTGCAGTTTATCTTCTGAAGCGTACCCCTCAGGCTTTTGTTCATCCTTCAGCACATGGAGAAACAGGAACCCCCTGGTAACTCAAAGAATGAAGATAACTAACAATATTTGTACCTTCCAACATCGGAAATGTCAGCATGGAGAATCAGAGGAAAAAATAGTATTAACAAAAGTGCAGTTTGCACTGCACTTAAACTGATATAAAGCTCTTCACCACCCTGTTTAGCAAAAGTATACATGTAATGTGGTGGGATTGAAAAAAGTCTTTAAGAGGAAGCAGCTTTACTTAGAAGCTGTTTTGGAGGGGTAGCTGAGCAATTAGTATTTTCCTTAATGCTTTAATGATGCCTAGTAAAAATCCTACTAAAATGTTCTGTGTTTGGGTTTCAAATAGTTTTCTTCAGCTTTGCAGCAGTTCAGTTCCTGTTTCTATAGTGGCAAGCGGAAAGCTACTTTGGCCTAAAAGAAAGGCTGAGAACGTATCAGAGCTTCTTGGGTCATGTCTCAGTGCTGATGTAGCTTTGCTTTTCACTTGCTTTATTTCTCATTACTTCAGCCTCAAACAATGAAATGTTATCATGGTTTGTGACCATGGTAAGATGAAATCACAAGACCCACAGGAAAGTTTACCATCTGCCTTAAAAATTAAAACATGCATGTTATGCAGATTGATATATAGAACCAAGATAGTATGTAAAGATTTATCAAGGGGATGGCAAAGATAGTGGACTACGTAGTATGTTGTTAATGTGCCATCAAGTCAGCCCTGAGTCATAGCGACCCCTCCTTGGGTTTCCAAGGCAGTTATCAGTAGTATAGACCAGTTCTTATAAACAGAAGCAGATATATAGATCAAGAGATGAAGTGTGGGACCAACTGTTGTTGTTGTTATGTGCCGTCGAGTTGGACCTGACTCATAGTGACCCCTCCTTGGGTTTCTGAGGCAGTATCACTACGGAAGTAGATTGCCCCATCTTCTTTCCGAGGAGTGCTGGTGGATTTGAACCGCCAGCGTTCTGGTTAGCAGTCAAGTGCCATAGGCACTATGCTACCAGAGCTCCCGCGGGACCAACTAGCCAAATTAAAACAAATTTTATTTTTCTTTCAGTACACAAAGATGTGTTGTTTCTCAAAGCTGGACATCAGTATCTGGGTATTTTTACTGGTTTCTTAAAGGGACTAGATCTTTGAGTGAAAACAATTTTTAAGTCATGTAAAATTCTTTTGTTATTCTCTTCTAGATAGCTATTCACATTTAGCTGCTTTTCCAAGTACAAACCTAAAAGCCCTTCCTGAAACAGTTTTATGGAAAATGAAATGATCTCAACATTCAGTCCTTATGAAAATGTTGTTTCCCTGGGGCAAAGACGACTTGAGCTTGGTTGTAATGTGTCTCTGAGTATTAATTCTTGGTAATATTCAAAATTTATTTTGGGAGTTCCTGGCGGCCATTCAGCTTAGATTTTCACTGTCATGTTAGCAATATAAGTGTATTAGTACTTAGTACTCACATTACCTTTTGGTATCAATTTTTAAAAACCCATAGCGTTTTCCTTCCTTTGGAATAATATCACATCAGCAGCATAGCCAACAGCCCTCGTCTGGTTTCTTTCTGATACACTGCCCCACACTTGAGACTGAATTGGAAATAAATAGGACATTTATAAAGGTTCTACATCCTAGACTGGAGTTTTTAACCATCATCAGCATGCATAGCTGTGTTTATGGGGCTGGACATAAAACCTTCCATCTCTGGTGAAACCATTTACACCTCATAGCTAAATAAGGGTTGGTTAGCAGTCTACTATAGTCCAGAACCTGGAATAGGTGAAGACCATGTTTGTTTTCAGGTTACTAAGTACCTGACATACTACTTGCCAGAGTGGGCATTTAGTATTTGTTAAACAAATGTTTTTTTTTTTTTTTTTACATACCGAGTTTAAATATATCACATTTATGCTTGACTAATCATACCTTTACATTAAAGTGAGTACCCACAGTAAAAATATGGCCAGACTGAATTCAGATGATGTGAATATAAAATGGACACTGTCTGCAGTTTACCATTTTTCCTCCTAATGTGGTGTTTTGTAATCTGGAGACAGGAACAGGAAATGGGCCTATGCCAAAGGGGCAAGGAGGCCCCATCTTCTGACCTCTTCTAACCCCACAAGAGGAAGACAGAATCACCATCAGTAGCCCAAGGCCTATTCCTGCGAGGCCAGAGATACTATGCTGCCTCCCTCTACCCTTTCACCAACTCTTCCTCCTGCAACACCCACCACCTCTCTGCTGGGTTCGATAATTTGCTGCAGTGGCCACACAGAACTCACAGATTATGGGGTTTATTAGGGAAGCAACAGGCTACAATTCAAGTTCAGGAACACGCTCAGTCTCTCTCAGCCACATCATGTAATTTACTACACCACAGCCTATGAGCAGGATTCAGGCTGCATACTAGCTTGTACTCAAGGAGGGTCAGCAGGGCAAAGAACATCAATGTAGGGAAGAAACCTGGCATAGCTAGAAGAGAGCTGGTGAGCCACATAAAGTGGTTGTCAGGAAGGACAGAAAACAATTGAGAGAGAGGGGTCTATGAGTACCATTATTCCAGGAATTTGAACACCTGAGAATAGGTTATATGTAACACTGCATCTTACTAGTTGTAACCCTGGTTTTCAACCTTTGGAGCCAGTCTCCTGGACCACAGGAAATAGGAAAAGATGGAGAAAGGAATCTACAGACCAACATTCTCTAGGAAAAAGTCTTTTTTTTTTTTTTTTTTTGTGGGGAGGACACATAAGCATTGAGAAAGATTTTACAACTTTAATGAGTTTGCCACCAGAAAAAGAGTTACCACCAGGAGCTGACAAAGTACTATAATGTTCAAAAAGGAAAAATTAGTTTAAAACTTACTTCTTTAAAATGGTAGTAAAAATTTCAGGCAACTTTGCCAAAACTGTAGGTTCTAGAAGAACTATTAAGTAGTGCAAAAATAAGACGGGGCTCAGGTCTCCACTGTTTGCACCAAAAGACTGAAAAAAAGGTAAGATTTACAGCTCAGAAACCCTATAGGGAAGTTCTACTCTGTCCTACAGGGTCACTGAGAGTCAGAATCTACTCAATGGCAGTGCATATTTTAGTTTTATAAAGTACCTAAAGAACAAGAGAATCTATAAATGTTCAACATTACTTAACTACTAGGAAAGGTACCATCTTGATTTATGCTAAGTTGCTAGTCAGTTTGCCCACCATTGCTTTTAAACCATTAGTGGAAATATCAATATAACTATTTTGGATCAACCATGAGATTAAAAAAGTTATTCAACACTCTATCATAGGACAAGTTGTACTTGTCTGAGTAGCTCTAGTAGATGCTGACACCGATAAATAATGAACAAAATAAGTTCAGGCACGTTTACAGATTCATCCATTTGTAAGGCAAACAGTAGCCTGTATCAATTCAGATATGACTTCATGTCTGCACGTTGTTATGTGCTGTCGAGTCAGACCCGACTCATAACGACCCTTCTTTGGGTTTCCGAGGCGGTATCACTAAGGAAGTAGATTGCCCAACCTTCCGAGGAGTGGCTGGTAGGTTTAAACTGCCAGCCTTCTGGTTAGCAGTCAAGTGCCTTAGGCACTACGCTATATGACAAATTCCTGTATCATTTTTTATAAAGTGTCACTACTGTGATCTTTACTTACTTTTTACCTAGCAATGTCAACTGTATATGGTGTTTTAAGTTTCCCAGCTACTATGTATAATTCTCTACCCAATGTAATACAATCACTTACCCTTTCAGTATCTTTTGTAGTTTGAAAACCCATGTTTTTTGGATCTGAAGGACCTCATCCTGTATTTACCTTTAAAATCTTAAAAACACCGATTGAAAAAATAAAATTTTAAAAAATGTTATTGGAGGAAAAAAACCAAAATGAAACACTGATTGGTTTCAAAGTCATGCTAGCACCAACATACTATTCAAAATTGTTCTATATAATCAGGTAAATTGTTACTATCTATGAAATTAAAAGAAAGATAACTTTCTTATTTTCATTTCTTATGGTTTCTCTAGAGTTGATTCTTCTCCCCGATGGGTCAAAGAACTCTGTGATGTATGTTATCCTCGTGTTTATGCTTAGGCACTGAAAACTATGAGATACCAAATGAACAACTGTACAATAATGAGATTGCAGAGGTTATAGAAAATATAATGTAAAAACTGAGTTAATCTCTAAAAATGCAAATATTCGTATTATAAACCCACCACCTTAGAAAATTCAAAACAAACAGCGGGATCCAGTGGCATCAAAAGGAACCTTGGTGGCATAATGGTTAAGCATTTGGCTGCTAACTGAAAGATCCACAGTTAGAACCCACCAGTGGCTCTGGGGGAAAAAGACTTGGTGATCTGCTCTTTGATTACAGCATAGGAAACTATGGGCAGTTTTACTTGAATGGACAGCATATAATACCATCCATTAGCATTAGTAGATGATGTCATCATACATCTTGTAGCCTCTGAACATTTGAGAATTTCAGAAAATGGCAATGTCTTGTTTCAGTATTAGAAGAATAGTTTTGACCTCGTGGACTCCCCTGTAGACCTCCCTGTGCAAGGCAACAGCAATACAGCTATAAACAAGCAGTCCAGCCCTCAAGGAGTAACCTAAAGAATAAAACAACAAATGATATAATTACTAATTAAACTGTCAGAAGTGCTATGGAGAAATAGTGTTAAGACAGCATTCAAGTGAAGGACCCAGTGTAATGGAGAGAGGGCAAAAGGGCAGGCTGCTTTAAGAGTGATCCGCCCCCCAATCTAAATTCAACTTCTGATTCAATTAAAAAACTTAAATTGAGTGTTTTACGTCTATCTATCTACATACATGCATAGTGGCTAAAGCACTTGACTGCTAACCAGAAGGCTGGCGGTTCAAACCCACCAGCCACTCCTTGGAAGGAAGGTTGGGCAATCCTACTTCCG